AAAAAAAAAAAAAAAAAAGAAAAAAAAAATGAAAGAAGAATACGTTGTTGTCTGGTGTGTGTTTCCCTCCGGTAAAGAGCCGTTTTCTTTATCTTCTCTCTCACTGAACGCATTGATGCCTTTGCCTTTTCCCCACCGTTTTTGTGCATTTCTTTTTCACTCTACTTTTTATACAGAGAAAGAAAGCCGACGCTATTTCTCCCCTAGCCTTCATCATTACCCTCATTAGGTACGGCGGCGGCGGAGAACTGAAAAAAGATTACGGAGAGGAGGAGTGTCGTGGATTCGATGGGATCGTGCTCGGGACAAAGCGGTGGGAGCTACGATCTCTTCTCCAAGATCTTGTTGGTCAGCGATTCCGGTGTCGGCAAAAGTAGTCTCCTGGTTAGCTTCATTTCCAGTTCCGTTGAAGATCTAGCCCCTACCATTGGTACTCTCACATTTCCTTTCCTTTTTCTTTTGAGATTCTGTTTGGTTGCTGGGAGATTGAAATAGAATAAATAGGAAACGCGTGCCGTTTTTGGAGTTTAATTCGCGTTAGCTTCCTGGATCTTACGGGAACTCTGCTAGTCATTGCCAACTTGAGGACTGCAATTTGTGTGTTCATTTTCAGTAGTTTTTGTTGATTTGTGTCACTAATGCTTGAATCTGATTGCACTTTTTGCGGATTTCAGAGTTTCTTGATGCATATATGCAATTTAGATTAATCTTTAATTTGTGTTTTGTTTGGTTTAGGAGTGGATTTTAAGATCAAGCTGCTAACAGCAGGTGGAAAGAAATTGAAGCTCACAATTTGGGAAATAGGTGCGTAGAGATGGAGTTGGTGCTTGGTGGGGACTCTAGGAGGACTTGCAACCCTTGTGTGGATGAGGTGGAGTGGTGGAGCATGGAGCAGCATGCTGCTGCTCCATTGGCTGCTGCGGCAGTTTGAGAATTGTTTGCCTCTACCGGTTTGACTTTGAAATACACCTTCAGCTGCCAGTTGATGAAAACCAAACAGTTGTCAGGTAAAATGGACCAGAAATTTCCAGAACTAGTGTCATTAATGCTTGAATCTGATTGCAGTTTTTGTGGATTTCAGAGTTTCTTGATATATATATGCAATTTAGATCGATCTTAAATTTGTGTTTTGTTTGGTCTAGGGGTGGATTTTAAGATCAAGCTGCTAACAGTAGGTGGGGAGAAATTGAAGCTCACAATTTGGGATACAGGTGCGTAGAGATGAAGTTTGTGCTTGCTTATGATCTTTTATGCTTTTCATTCCAAATTTGTCATTTTATAGTTCCAATTTGTCTCAGTAGCCTATTACTTCATGTGTGGTCCTTAGTGCAAAACTTTTGAAAGACGCAAGAGGGGGAAATACGTCCAGTATGAAAAGTTGAACTGTTTTATTGGAGTCAATCATCCGTTTACTTTAGATTTTTCAAATTGTGAAGGGAGCATGCTTCTCCGACCTGTTTTTACCTTTGGCCTTTTCGGTAATAGTCTTGGTTCCAAAATTTTATGTTGGCATGGGAATAAGTGGTGTCTGAAATCATATTGCTTCTTGCAGCTGGACAGGAAAGGTTCAGGACATTAACAATCTCTTACTATGGAGGTGCCCAAGGGATCATTGTTGGTATGTTTATTTTTTCACAACATGAATGAAATATTCTCTTTCCTGATTTCACTTACTGGAGTCCATCATTGGTATAAATTGCCAAATAAAAGATAACCGATTGCATATCTAATACCAAGGTTAGTGGGTGGCTCTGATGCTGACTGCTGAGTTTACATCTCAGATGAAGTATGTTAGCCATAATGAAAACAATATTTACAAGCTTTGCTACTAAATTCTTGATTGAGTCCTTTGTGCTGGTTGAGGTGGAGAAATAGAGTTTGGAGTAGAGTAGATAAACATCACAAAAGGGGACCACTAAGTAGATGGATAAAAAAGAACTCTTTTTTAAAAAATAAAAATAAAAAATAGAATGGATGAAGGGCAATATAAATCATAGAAAATGTAAAACTAGAGAAGAGAAGAAAAGGCAATGGAAATTTCTTGAATGGAAAGAGAAGACCATGTGTTACCATCTCCAATGGAAATTTTTTTTATTTATTTCTTTCCATAACATATTATTGATAGTTATAAAGGAGATAAAGGAGGACATATGTTGCAGCTTTCTGCTACTAGGAAACATGTTAAAGAGAGAAGTAATGAATTAATTCATTTCAGACAATATTGTTAAAGAACTTCAGAGAGAAAGCACACTCATGCTAATAAAACATTTCATTTCTTATATAATTTAAACTCTAAATTCTTCACATTGTTTATGCCTTTGACAATTGTTTATGCCAAGTGAATGGAATTTGGTTCCCCTTAAACAAGGTCTTGAGTTCAAGTATTGTGAGTGGAGAGATAGTCACTAGGAATCTGAATTAGTCAAGGCCCACTGTGGCTTTTGGATATTGGGGGGTTTAGTACCAATATATATATATATATATTGCTGTTAGTCCTTTTAACCACCACTAACAGTTAATTGTCTAACAAGTTTTTTCCCATTAGGCAGTAGCCATAAAACCGAACTGAGTAATGCTTAAAAAAATGACAAGGCTTTCCTTTTATTGTGTCAATTTTTTATAATCTCAGGAGTCTGAGAGGGTTGTTAGCAGAGAAGAAGGAATTGCCCTTGCCAAAGAACTTGGGTGTTTGTTAGTGAATGTAGTGCTAAAACTAGAGAAAACATGGAATGATGCTTTGAGGAGCTTGCACTGAAGGTATTTTCTGATAATGCATCTTTAGTCTTTAGCTTTCTTGTTAAAATGTAAATCAATAAACATGATTAGAGGTTGTTAAAATACGAGAACAATGATACCCCGTTGTTCTTATTTTCTGATTTCCATGGATTGTTAAACAGATAATGGAGGTCCCCTAGTCTTTTGGAAGAAGGATCTGATGTAAAGAGGAGCATTTTAAAGCAGAAACCAGAAAATCAGGCTCCTTCAAGTGGTGGTTGCTGCTCTATCAATATTTTTTCTGGTCTCTAGATCAAGATCGTGCCAAGAAAGCATGACTTACTTTCATTCCTTTGGCAACTAGAACGCGAACAACTTGTGTACATTATAATCTCTATCAATATTTTTTACCTAGTCTCTACATCAAGATCTATTAGCTTGTGTAAATTTGTATGCATTGCACTTCTTGGAAAATTATCATCGGTGTTAGAAAACATTGCCTTCATTGATTATATCTGAGATTTCAAATTTCTCATTAATCGCCATTCCCCAACATTCTAAGGGGTGTGTGTCTCCTACATGTGCCTGAGTCCCAACAAGAATAAGAAGGTCAAGGATAAATGGCTCACACGGTTTTTTTGGAAGAGAAAAGGCTCGAACACCATACAGCAGGAGAAATTTTATTATTTTTCGTATAAAAATATCGTTGGTATAAATGTGTCATAGAACAGACAAATGACTTGAAATTGCAGTCATTTAAGACATTCGGATGATATATGAAATAACGAAAGAAAACTGAAACCCTATCCTATTAACCCTCTCTTCAGTCTCCTCTTGATCTAATGGAAAATGAATGTATCAAGCCAAATCTCAAAACTGTTTGCTATGGCCTACCCTATTGCTGGATGGCATCAAACAATGACCAACCACAACCACCCCCACAAGAAGAGAATAGGTAATGGTAAATTTAGAGAACAATCAATAAAATTTTCATTAACACGTCTCAGCACCAGTAGCTGCCTCCAAAACTGTCCTAGCTTCCTCCAAAACTGTACTAGCTTCTGTGTCTGCGTCAGCCAGCCCACTTGGAGTCTGCACAATTCTCTAGTTAGAAATATGTTTTTTTTTTAAAAAAGAGAGAAAATATAAAAAAATATATTTTTTTATCTAACCTTTACATATACATTTCTTTGTGGGAGAAGATCCTGAAGCCAGCAACAATCTTATAATATCGACATGCTCACCTCTTGTTGCATGATGAAGTGGCTACAAAAACAATGTGCACTTATTATTCACAAAATTTAGCTAACAAAGTCCAAGTCGCAATGGATAAATGTTTGAGAAAAAATTAGGAAGAGGGGGAAGAGGGGGAACTGTTCCATTCTTCAGCCCCCTTTTAAGCATCCTTTATTCAGTAGATGCATGGGCTAAACATTAGTCTGGTTTTTCTTGTAATAGAAATCGTGCAGTTTACTAAGCCAAGGAAAAGAGAATTCATCTACTTTAGGTTTTCATCAAGAAGTAAGGAGTAAAAGTAAAACTCATGATTTAAGATTTATGTAGTACTAACAGTGTCAGCTTCCGTATCACATCCTTTTCACATGGTCGGCATAATTAGCACTGTTAAGCAGAAATTGTACTATCTCAGTAAATCCTGAAGCAGTCATTAAAATGGAATTCAAGTAAAACCAGTAAAAGAATAGAGGAAAAACTTAGGGTAACAAATATTTTACTAATTTTGTACTGCAGAGAGACTTGCTTCCACAGCATGGAGGAGGGTTTGTTGTATTTTCTAGTAACTTTTAATATTCTTTGCTCAAGACCTGTGTTTTACATGAAGAAGATGAACAATTAGAGTTCATTTTTCTAATTTTGTTTCAAATTTGCAACTGAAATCTTCGGTTTTGAATGAAAAGTTGGTAAATTTTGAAGAGTGCCGTGTCATTTGTTGAGTACTCTTCCAGAGATCAAACTGAAATATTATATCCTAGCTTCTGATTTCCAAAAAAGGTACTTGAATTGATTAATAATTCCAATATGCAATTTGATTACAATTCTGAACCATATCATGCTTTACTCCTGGAGTTTGACATCTTGCATGATGCTTTGGCGTAGGAGCCGATACCGAAACATCGATTTTGGCGAGATTTAAAATCCCACTACGATGAATTCGATTGCCAGGATCACCACTTAGGTTGGCAAGACCTAAGATACAGAGATAAATTGAGAGAATCCACTCTCAAGAAACTCACTCAAAACAGAGGAGAATATAAACTTCATTAACTGATAAAACTTCTATCTACAATGGTGATAACATGGCTATTTATAAGCAAATTCTAACGAAAGGCAATAAATGAAAAGTAACGTGTAGTTGGGAGTTAGCCATCTTTGTGGAATTTAGTGGCCACTTTTGACAAAATTGCACCGGCCTACTGTAGTAGGTGGTGTTGCAGAGTAGCTTCTGCATGCTTGTTGCAATTTCTTGGTACTTTCTCCCAGTGCATTTTCTCCCGGTGCATTCTCCCCTGGTTGGAGAAAACTCGTCCTCGAGTTTGAGTTCAATGCTCATGATCCTCATAGTAAGGAGATAGGTCAGCTACGTTGAAAGTAGCAGAGACTCCATAGTCACCTGGAAGTTTGATCTTGTAGGCATTATCATTGATTTTCTCCACTATCTGAAAAGGACCAT